ATATAACGCGTAAATGAAGCGACTCGAATTATAAATCGAAATGCAGCTTCATTCAGTTCTAGTAAGTGAATCAAAATTACGGTTCGACTACCAAGCGGAATGCGGATTGACTGGAACTCAATATTTTTCGTAATTCAAGTACTGTATATAGTGTGCCCATACTACATATGTAACAGTTTAATTTGCCTACGCGAACCTTTATAAATAAGTAACGCTGAAGACTTCTTTATTGGCGTGATCCTGAAAGAAACTGGATGCATGCATTCTTGATATGATGCATTATACGAAAGCAGATCCGAATTAGCAATAATTTCTGTCCTTGGGCTCTCACAAATTATTTGTAACCCAGACAGCAGCGATCGATCATTCTATTATTGATCCAAGCACAACATGCTTCGTAATTCCGAAGCAATGCACTTTTCCCAGAAAAATTATCAGGGATTGCAGCTGCTGTGAAGCAAAACACAGCAGGAAAAAAATTCTTCTGACGGAAATGCAGCAATAAATTTCTAAGCACATTATATAACTTCTAGTAAAGACCCGTACTATTAGTTAATACGCACTCGGGTAAGGCGGGCTTTTAAGGGTATGGCGGTTTAGTATTTTCAAAGAAAGTAAAGCGAAGTGACTTTGTTTCTGCATAAAACACTGTAGCTGACGCGTGTGAAGACGAATATCGGAAAGCTTCAAGAGCACATAAGTCACAGCATATATTGGGAAATCACTTGAAAGATATACAACTTGAGTTTCGACCGTTGTTGAGTATCATATTGTGCCAGCAGGAAGAAAGAGAGGCGACAGGTCCAACGTCGACATATAGACTATAAGTATAGAGGATCCCGGGGGTTGCCTTGCCTTTTGCCTTGCCCGATATTGAGGTCCGACCGCGGGCTTCAGCCACAGTGGCTCGATGTGGGCATGCCTGATGGAACGGGTCTCTTTGCACATATTGAAACACCCATCCACTTTTTTTCGGGTACCGAGTGCAAACAGACGGATTTCACATCAATACAAAATTTAAAAAAATATTTTTTCGCAAAGCTTCCCAGTTTTCAATATAGCGGTATGACGAAAGGTTTTTTAAAATTGATTTAAAGAAATTCCAGAATATATCTACCTTGTTTAAATAATCATAAGCCAGTCGATTGAGCCCTCTATATAAACCCGTTTTTTGCTCCATAGGTTAAATGCTCATTTGTGCATGGTGAACATCCATCAGGAGTATATACTGTATATACAGTAAAATAGTTAATATATTACATTGTACAGTTGAACCTTGCTAGCTCAAAATTTCTTGAATCAAAAATTATCTCTTTATAATGAATTTTTATTTAATCACTGCCTAAATCTCCTTTTTTTAAATTCAATGCATACATCCCTAACTGAAATTAATTACCCCTCAAACCTCTATACACAACTATTATTTCTAGAGTCCTTTGAACTATTTTTTTGGGGAACCACAAAGAAGACTGATGAAAATTCAATTTGTAGATTTTTCAAAAGAAAAACGGGAAAACACCATATACAAATGTACACTTCCTTTGATGATCAACATCCTGTCAACTCCTTTTTTTTCATCATTTTGCAGGCCAAAAGCACCAACAATTCTGCCTTCCTGCAATTCTTTAACCCACATAAATAATGTTTTCCCTAACTTGGAAGCTCCTATACAAAGTCAAATATTGTTTGCGGCTCTCCAATTTTGACTTAGGTTAGTAATATATTGAAGATCATTTCTGGGCATGATAATCAATTATGCGTGAGCCCATTCCGCCCGAAAATTCCCATACCGCCAAATCATAAAAGTTTCTTTCATTTCGCTTCACTGAAACAAAGACGTATGAACACTGTAGCTGACGCGTGTGAAGACGAATATCGGAAAGCTTCAAGAGCACAAAAGTCACAGCATGTATTGGGAAAGCACTTGAAAGATATACAACTTGAGTTTCGACCGTTGTTGAGTATCATATTGTGCCAGCAGGGAGAAAGAGAGGCGACAGGTCCAACGTCGACATAGACTATAAGTATAGAGGATCCCGGGGGTTGCCTTGCCTTGCCATGCCCGATATTGAGGTCCGACCGCGGGCTTCAGCCACAGTGGCTCGATGTGGGCATGCCTGATGGAACGGGTCTCTTTGCACATATTATTGAAACACCCATCCACTTTTTTTCGGGTACCAAGTGCAAACAGACGGATTTCACATCAATACAAAATTTTAAAAAATATTTTTTCGCAAAGCTTCCCAGTTTTCAATATAGCGGTAAGACGAAATGTTTTTTACAATTGATTTAAAGAAATTCCAGAATATATCTACCTTGTTTAAATAATCATAAGCCAGTCGATTGAGCCCTCTATATAAACCCGTTTTTTGCTCCATCGGTTAAATGCTCATTTGTGCATGGTGAACATCCATCAGGAGTATATACTGTATATACAGTAAAATAGTTAATATATTACATTGTACAGTTGAACCTTGCTAGCTCAAAATTTCTTGAATTAAAAATTATCTCTTTATGATGAATTTTTGTTTAATCACTGCCTAAATCTTCTTTTTTTAAATTCAATACATACATCCCTAACTGAAATTAATTACCCCTCAAACCTCTATACTGTACACAACTATTATTTCTAGAGTACTTTGAACTATTTTTTTGGGGAACCACAAAGAAGAAGACTGATGAAGATTTAATTTGTAGATTTTTCAAAAGAAAAACGGGAAAACACCATATACAAATGTACACTTCCTTTGATGATCAACATCCTGTCAACTCCTTTTTTTCATCATTTTGCAGGCCAAAAGCACCAACAATTCTGCCTTCCTGCAATTCTTTAACCCACATAAATAATGTTTTCCCTAACTTGGAAGCTCCTATACAAAGTCAAATATTGTTTGCGGCTCTCCAATTTTGACTTAGGTTCTACAGAGAGGAGTCATTGAAAAAATGTTTTGCATAAGTTTAAATTGTCTGAAACTGTAAAGGAATCCTTTTGTTCCTTAAAAGGCAGATATTAAGGATTCATGCTGCAATGAATAAAGGGCATGGCAGCAGCAATGACTCACTACTGTAATAATCAGCATATGCATGATGTCACCCCATTTGAACTTACCGCAGATTAAATTTGCAAGGGGATAAGAAGTTATTGTCAGAGGCAACAAAGCAAAATTCAGTTCTGCACAATTTTGTACGATGTTTTTTTTATGGTAAACAATATGAAGAACAGATGCAATGTAAATGCTGTAGTTTTAACATACAGCATGATACACAAACATTAGATATTCCCAGTACTTTACATATTTATACACACAAAGCATCCCATTTTATACAATGCAATCGATTTTCAAAGCCAATTCCGCGTGAAACATCATTTCGCTCTTGCTATTCACGACTTGATAATTATAGCGGAAATAGGGAACAGCAAAATTTGGAAAAGGTACAGTAATCTGACGAGGGCTTACGCTTATGTTGAAAAACCGGGAGAGCATGCCTCAGAGAGCGGATTTCCCCATCAGACTTCAAGAGGATTAGCCAGGATATATATATATATCTGACTGCACTCCGGCAGCTCATCATGAATTCAGGTGGGCAACATACGTCATCACAGCAGCTGGATTGCAAGCATTGTGGACAAAAGCGTGGTGGGAGAAGTGAACTTCACTTGTATTCATACAATGCTAACGAACTCCAACCCTTTGATACTTGTGAACAGCGTTTTCCACTCTTCTAATTGCCTTCATATTTACTCGACCTTAAATATACTGTACAATCAAACCTTGTCTATATAAGTCAATAGTCAAATTTCAATAAGGAACTAGGAAAAAATTGACTTATGGAGGTTTTGACTTATATATAGATAGGCTTCAACTTAGGGAGGTTTCCAGCAGTTTGGGAAATAACAATTAAGCCTTTTTGTTGTGGGAAACGCATAGGATTGCAGGAAATTGTGAATAGTGATATTCTGAGCCTTTAAATTGCTTCTTAGATGAGTGTACAGGATGCTGGAATTGAAGGGAGGGGTTCAGTTGCCCAATTGGTCTTCCACTATTCCTTTCAAAACACATTCTCACTTTTTATTGCTTTCTTTTTCCTATGTCAAGAAAATAATGACTAAATGGTTTCAGAAAATTCAGGAGGTTTCAGAGGAAGAGCCACTGCTGAGAGAAAGGTTTTTAGTTCATTGTTCCCTATAGTAGTGCGAAGATTACGTTAACGGAAGTAGGAGAACACTCACTGGTTCTTTCACGGTCCTTTTGCGCTAACTTTCGAAGTTGAGCGCGCACAACTGAAGAAGTCCTGTGAAGTTCGAACAGGAACAGCGTTTCACCCAATAGCTCTACAATTATGGAAGTTTCACTCTCATGCACCACATGAATTCCAAAGGCTATCATCACATGAACGTCGTATCTCCACTGAGTTATGCCTTCGCTTCTCCAAGTTTTGAAATGGAGTTTGAGCCCAGTCGGAGAGTTCGACTGACGGAATGACTTACAACTGCCCCTCAGGATGAAATGATACTTGATCATCTATTAACTTCCATCAACAAAACAATACCTGCAACAAAACCGTTTCGATCCCGTCTTCGTTCGATGGGAAAATCCGTTCAATGCGGATCACCGCCATTTTCATTTAAGACGAAGATTCAGACGGACCACGCTGCAACAAAATCTCATCAATCCCAAGGGGTATTGAATCTGAAAAGTGGAGCTCTCAATTCGAAAGCCACGAAGTACATTCGTGACCTCAGAATTTTGCAATCTTCATCAACAACCAAGTCATTTCATATTTTCTGCAGTTGCTCAAATCTTGCAAGGGATGTAATACCTCAGCAAAATAAGTTCATGAAGGTCAGTAAAAACACGAACTACGCTACTCAGAATTGCGATGACGCGGTGAGACTTCCGCAAGGAAAAGGTACGCTTTTTCGATTGATGAACTACATTTCACTTCCGCAGATTTCGCAGAGGTGGAATTCCGCGACTTGAAATGAAATTCACGCAGAATGCGCAATACAAAACGATTTTTATTAGCGTTCTGGAAAAAACCTCAACAAGTAAGGTATGGCGAACTTTTTCGAGGAGAAGATGCGAATGAAAGAGCGAATGCAAATAATTCAAAGCCAAAGGGGGCGTTTCGGGTAGCATAAAAAAAGACCCCGGGATTTTCCACACTCCCTTGTCCAAAAAATGTGCAATTCCCGCTCACCCCCCACACCCGAAAAGAAAAATGAAAAGAAAAACCCCACTTCTCACGAAATCTCATCCGAACAGGAGGAAAACAGGGGAAAGTTTCATCACATGGGAATCTGTTTTTGGGACATGAAATTCGTTTTTTTTTCGACAAAACACAAGCAGCCCCTTATACGTCACACGGTGTGTTTCGAAGAGGGAAAAAACCAAATTAAAACCGAGAAATCTCGAATGAGAAAATTCAAAATGATTATCAATCAGTACCAAGATTGTCTCCCCCCACCCAGGCCCCTTTTCCCGGTTCTCGTCTTGAACACAAAATCCAACTAATGCCCACCGAAACCTCTCGGCTAAAATTTCCCGATTGTTTCCCGTCCTTTTTTAACGCCGCAGGCTCATATACAGTGAGGATCGAAGACCATAAACGCATCGAGTAACACGCAAACGACGTTTTGGATACAGACTAGACAACGTTTCCACACAATCAAAGATGGCCCGGATACAAAGCTAAATTTTTGAGCTCAAAATAAATACGCTGACCCACTCCCAAAAGTCATCCTCGAAATCAACCAAAATCAAAACCACCAGGTAAAAAAAAAAATCCTAGCCGTGAGATTGAATGAGATAAATTTGAAACTTCGTGCGCACGGAGTGACTGACCAAAAGGCACAAATTTTCAACTCATCGTGGCATCAAAACTTTATATCGAATAACAATTTGATGGAGTAAAGATGCAAAAGACTAAAAGTTAGTGAGTAGCACACCTGAAGGAAGTAGAGGAAGGTTCATTTAGATTTCAGAGGTCAGTCTTCCTCCTGATCATTGAAATAATCTCACATGCTAGAACATTTTAGATCTCCCGTAGAGACTGAACATGTTTCAACATGCTTTTCCAGAAATAAAGTCAAAATTTGAAACTTGAAAAGTACACCAAGACAAATTTTCAAGGTTACTTCTACATTCGTTCTTAATCAACCAATGAGAAATCAGACTTGTCTTGTTTCCCTTACTGTTCCAAGTTCACTCGTAGTCAAGGTTATAATTTTTTCCTTTACTTATTCAAAATGGCAAGAAACTTTCAAAAATCTGTTTCTCATGGTGCGACGCACCAATACACATACCTTTTAAGGCTTAAGGCTTTATTCTCGGGGAAACTCGATAGTAAAGAGAGGAAACTTTGAAATCTGTTCCACGAAGATGCGGGTAAGAGAATTTTACTCAAATCTTTGCTTTTGATCATTTTCAAGACCTAGTAATAATGATTCCCACTTGAAAATCGGTGCCTTCGGGGGAGCATTTCCAGGATGACGAAGACACAAACAAAAAGCCACTCCTACGAGATTGCAAGATCACTCAATTCGGTCCGAATCCCGGTATTGAAGAGAAACAATTCCGGAAAGTTTCCGAGAATCCTCGATTTCGAGCAAAGGGTTTTCAAAAACGTGATCGATTCTTTTCTGCACAAATCGAAAAAAAAAAAAAAGAACCGGCACTCCCGCGTGCTCCATCGTCCCCAGAAAGAAAACCCGCACAGGGGGATTCCTATCACTTTCACATAGCTCGATAACCAAGGCTTATCCCTTTCTTCTTTCCTTAAAGCAACGACACGCCGAGGCCAGAACGTCCAAAATTTTGGTCAGAAATTTCCAGATCACCGACAGGCTCAGTGCATTTAAAATTTGTCTTCCCATCGCTATAGCCGCACACGAAGCAATATTCTTCACGCAGAAACACATCACCAGAAGCTGCATCATTCCCTAAAACCTGCTTTTCTCTTTTCGAGTACACAACATGAACATAGTTTTCGACCGCCCCCAAAGATAAATTTCCACACTCACAAAACCTGGTAAAACCTTCAGGAGTAAAAATCACGACTTTTTCGCCCAAGTTTCGAATAGCGCCGGGAAAAAATGAGGCAGGCCTTTTCTTTTCTATGGCAGGTCCCACCAAAAGTCATTGATACCCGGACAAGTGTAGATGCTCACGGGGAATAGCGTTAACCATTCACGGCTTCCCTCTAAAAGAAAAACTTCCCCGAGAGTTCAGAAGACGATTTTCTTCTGTGAGCAACAAAAAAGCTGACTTACAAACCAAAAGTCGTCATCACTTCATGGGGAAAAAGATAGCAACGGGGTGCGTAGTCTGACAAGTGCATGAGGCACAAAAATTGGACAATTCTTCAAATTGGATTTCTTTTTCTCCTCTTGAATCTCTCAGAAAATCTCGTCGTCCACTCTCATTTTGGCAAACTCTCGTAGGTTTTTAGTCGACACGGGAATTTCTGAAGTATCAGATAAACGGTGAGTAGAGAAATTCCGCAGAGCAATTCGCATGTCAAATGATGGATGACCACAAATCGTCCAGCATAAAAAAGTAGGAAGATAATACGGTAACTCAAATCAGTACAGTATGATGAAATCCAACGCAAATCCGACTCTGATTAAACGTTTAGCCCAAGCTAATTCAATCACTGCGTGGTGTACATCAATCAACTCAATCGAACTTCGAAGTTCAAAGAAGACAAGATTCTTCCCATAACTGACTAAAGGCAGCTTCCTTCGAGCCATCCTCTTCAACCGATAAAAAAATCACCATAAAATGAAAAAGGTTTGGACAGTTTAAATGCATATATCCATGCATAATTTGCATGATTTGGTCAATGAAAATGTCACGAACTCCTTCAGTACTTTTCCATTCACCAAGCGCAGTTTGTTTCAAGGTCTGAGAAACCTGAAAATAAAACTTCGCAAAACTGCTGGGAAGATCCGTATTCATCCATCCGATTTAAAGAGATTCAAATTCCTGCTTCTTGAGCAGGCTTCGGGGCGGAGATTTGATCGGAAAAGCAGAAGAAAAAAGAAAAGCGGGAACGCCGCGAACGGTGATGAAAAATAGTACCGACTTTGCATCACCACGTTCCTTGAGAAAGGGAGACAAAAAAAAACAACCCTGGGGGATTCGGGAACAACTTCACTGTTGTCAAAGAGCACTGACAGGACGCCGCGAAGGGGGCTCCATAAAGTACTCGTCCTGTTCCGCGTCCAAATCTTCAGCATCCATGTCTGGATCCATGTGAGGGAGGCGACGTGGGGCTTGTGGATGGCGCGAAGACGATGACGTATTAGACGCCATCGCTTGTGGATGGTGCTGTGGGTGGTGCTGGAGCCGGGACGCAGCGAGCTGGTGCATGGTACCGCCGGGTCCCACTTGCATCGGCGGCTGCGGCATGTCCCGGCGACGCTGTGGCACTTGTGGCAATTGACGCCGCTCACTCATCGGCAAGAAGTCAGCCGAGTCATGCAGCGAATCTGTTCGACCCATTGGAGCTTGATAACCTAATTTTTTAATACACGAAATACAGTAAAAAATCTTGGTAAAACAAACTTTTGGGAAGTTCAGAACAATTTGTTGACTCATTTACTGGAACAAGATTTTCATAAGTAACGACCAGCAAAATTTTTCAATTCCGATAATAGGATGTCGCTTTTCTGGCATTCTCACATTTTCTATCATTGCTCGAAAAACTAAGTGATCTTCTGGATGAAAAAAATGTGTTCCATCAATGGTACCAATCTCTTTATTCTGGGAAGATTATGCGCGGAACCACTTGGAAGCATGCTTGCCATCCATGCTAAAAGAACTAGCCAGTCACATTTGGGATTGGAAATTACAGGCTGAGAATCTAAGCAACATTCCTCAAAAAATGTCATTATACTGGAATTCGGAAGTTTATTCTAACGAGATTTTTTCTACATGCAATCCATGGGCTTTCTGTCAGGACTTGAGGTAAAGTCTGTTACTGTACACCGAAAATTTCATTTCAACGGTATTTCATTACACTGAGATTTTACTGCAATTGATTACCGCACAAATTTTAAAACCGCACTAGGCCCACGGGAATGGAAAATCGTGGCCACCATAAATTCCAGTCTTCCGAGTACTGTACATGGTTTTGCACGAAGTCTCCTTACTCCTCATACGCCTAATTTTCTTCAACCTCACATCGAAAGAAGGAAAGAAACACCTGTAACTGGTACCCAAAACGTTTTTCCACAGCGATAAAAATTAATATAAAGGGTGAATATTTTATGAAGTTCATAAATTTCAGAGAGTGAGCATAAAAAATAACTTCCTGCAGGGGTTCTAAGCAACTAAGATAAAAAAGAAATTTCTGTCCTATTTTCATCTTCCCTGTCACTTCGTTTTCGTTGATTTTAAATTATTCCATCGATGAGATTATTCTTTGACATGGAAATACAGTAGCACTGTTTCTTCGCAAGTTCTCATCCTTGAAAGTTCCACAACAACATCCTGTAGTTTTCCCATCTAAATATTAAACAGGACACGAATTGAATCATTGCCTGTTATCAATAGAAAATTTTACCGTATTTCCGAGATTACAAGAAGCAATTTGAGCGAAAACAGTATGGACAACTTCAGAGAGAAATGAATCTACAGCACTCGCCTCCACCGAAAGTCATCGAAAGAGGAGAGGAATTGGTCCGCGCATAAGCAGCATCATGCTTGTACTGAGCATGATGCTGAGACGGTCGTCCGGGTGGCGAAAAACCGGCGTCCGGCGAGGCTCCCCCCACGGACATGTGTCCCTGCATATGGCCCATTCCGGGCATCATAGCCGCCATTCCGGGCGGTATCCGGTTCGTCGAAGGCATTGGAGGGCCCGCTGTTTGCGACGGCGGATGGGTTGCTCTCCAATAGGCCTCCAGGTACTCTGCGATGTGCTCGCAAGCGTCCTCCAACTGGTTCTCGTCCAGAACAACGTCGAACATGTCGGACGAGCATTGCGCCAGCTTTTCCGCTGCCACCATTTGCACGCTCAGATTTCTGCTTTGCGGTTTCCCGCGTGACTTCACCAAACGTTGCAGGACCTGAAGAGAAAATATCGAGAAAAATGCTTTGTACTCCAACTCATCATCTCCCGAAGTGTGAGAGCATCAGGAATGCAAATGTCATTAGCGATCAAACGAACTTCGTCAAGATCCCGTTTAATTTGAGAACGCAAGATTGAAAATTGTGCACACTGTCGATAAAAGAAGCGAAAATATTCGGTAAAATTTGGGTAATTCCAGTTAAACCGCGTAACTTCCAAAAAAAAAAAAACTCAATCATTTTCGGAAAAATCTGAAAATGCAATTACAGTATTGTAATTTCAATGCGTTACTGGGTTTCTCAGCATTAAATTATGGCACAGCGTACTCCAATTTTTTCGCACTGGTACACGGTTCGAAAAATATCAACAGTATTGGTTCAAATTTTGTTTCAAGCTTCGCTTTCAACTCAGATTCAAGTTTGGATCCACGGCCTGGGTACAATTTCGTAGACGTTTTAATTAAAATATATTCATCTTCCAAGCTCTGGTCGTAATTCTGGAGATTATCGTTATATACATAGTTAAATCCGGTTCGAATATCAATTTACAGTACATACATTTTAGACATTCAGACAGCTATATTCTCGAAACCAACATATCAAAAATATCACATTTTGTACCACGGTAATAATGGCTCTTTTACTATAGTCTTTAGAACCAATTCTGCTCCGTTTGAATCTCTGTCCAGAATGAATTTCCGAATGCATAAACAGGAATCCACTGTTAATGCGCTGAGACAATTTAAGGAATGCCACGAGAGATTATTCTTACCTTCGGAGACGATATTTTGACGTATACAATAATAGGAGCCAACGACGTCTTGGCCAGTTGAGAAGGGTGATTGATAGTATCACAGTCAAGAACGACAAGCTGAAAAACCGAGAAAAGACGTCAAGTACGAGAAGCAGAAAGGCAAAGCAAGAAAAAGACAATTGTCAGTGACAGGACTGTTTGAATAGGACTAACCTGTAGCGTCCGTGCGAGTTCGAAGATTCGCTCTATTTCCGCTTGAACTTCTGCCAAACACGTCGACCGATCCGACTTCTCCATGATCACCCGTTTGGAAGGATTGTTGAGTAGAGATCGTTTGGCCAAAGATATATCAGCAGTCACCCGGGTGATGATTATCCTGATTACAAAAAGATGGAAGTTACTTCATCATTTTGCAAAAAATACGACATTCACATTTCCAAATACAGAATTATCTCTTTTTTAATCGCCCGATCTTGCTTTTCAGAATTTCCAACAGGTGTCACCTGACTCACGCCCTTCACCAGAGTACGCAACCGAATTAACTCAAACATGAACTGCTGAAACTATCCTCAGTAATTTATTTGACGTTCCTTCCTCCAAGTTCAAGTCGACTACGGAAAAATCTTGTCCCATTTTTATGGAGATGGAGCAAAATCTTCTCACAACAAATGACAATCATACTTCCACACATAATCCTCTCAGAATTCAGAGATTTTCGCAACATCCTCCAAAAATTAAAAGATTGGTACAACTCATGAAATGCATGATTGAACCTTTTTAAAAGAAACATCAGTTTTTCTAAGAATAACAAATTTGAGAATGACGGAAAAGTAAGATCTAATTGAGTATCGGCAGGTCTGACATGAAAATTTTTTCCAGTCATTCATCATGAAAATCTCGTTATAACAAGTAATTCAGCGAATAAACTTCAGCTGAAGTCCCAAAAGTCTGTTTTCAAGAGATTCTACCGTTTTATTTTTCAATTACAGGTATTCAAAATTCAGTGACACTCACCGCCCTTCGAATCGATGCTTCAGATAGTCGAACAGAGCCTTCTGCATCATGTCGGTCACTTCATAGCCTTTCAAGGAAGGTCCAACGAGGACGACCGGTCGCATATTCGGTACGACATCGTACGGAGGCACGTGTTCCTGCTTTTTGAAAAACGCCTTCTTTCCTTTCCCTGCATCTCCTTTTCCGCCACTCTTTTGGTTACTCAGTGAATCCGAGTCATCTCCACCAACAGATTCGACTCCGTTTCTTTCCCCATCAATGCCACCACCTACAAGAAGCCATTCTCTCGCTAAATCATAGTGCGATTCACATGGATACAGTAGTATTTTACATCATAGCTCTTGACCAACTTTCGATCATCACGTTCTTCCACTTCAACTTTGCTCTAGAATCTTCAAAAGGCAAAGCACAATTCTCACGCGGCAGCGCGTTCAACAGGTAAGCAATTGGCATTCTCAAACTTCAACAAGCAATGCATGAAAGAACGTGGACCTACACGTCTTGGGGTGAGAAGTAAACTTCAGCAAATTATTTGAGGATGGAAACAAATTGCGCAGGCAGGATGAACATTTGAACAGAACTATAAAAACAATACAGTATGACAAAACGCGTCAAATTCAAAAGCGCGCGAACGGCGAATCGCCGAATTTGCTGGTATGTTAACGGATCTTAGCCTGTTATTTTTGTAGTTGCCGGGGGAACCGGAAGATATTCAAAACATAAGCTCATTTTTTGAATTACCGGAAGTGGAAACGTCACTGAGAGCGCCCAGGTTTCCGGATGATGACGTCTTGGTGGAGTATTTGGAATTCTTTGTCTGCGCGTGTTGCAGGCGCACGTAGTCGAGTTTCACGGGCGATGGAATAAATCCCACGTCACAGCCTTCCTTGACGAGCCTTCCTATCCACCATTCGTTGTCGTACTTCTCCTGTACGGTACACGTGGATAGAAAATGATTACGGCATTGAATATTGAATATTCACAAACCAAATCCTTCGGCATCGCCTAAATTTCCCCCAAGAGTCACTTTTCTACGAGCATTATGTAACACATCACATACGTTGATCTGCACTGAAATCAACAGCATGATATATCAGAATGAACTGACGAATTCAAATCTGCACTTAGAAAGATTTCACAAGGTTGCGATTCGATAAAGATATTCAAAAAGTTGCCCATACTGGTACCGTTCCAAGTTAGGTGAAATAAAATACAGTAATCTCAGAACAACGAATCTCGTCGTAAAAAATGATCGCCAACAACAAATTCATTTTTAGGTCCTATTTTCAGTAGCCCCAATGTTACTTGAGTTTATTCTATAGTTATACGAATTTTTCGTCACAACTAAGCTAGTCTACTGGTCCCAATGGTTTTGTTTGCAACGAAATTCGACAGTGCCAAAAACCTCAATCTGTTATATGCGTCACAAGTCCCTAAGCCTTGGGTGAAATATTTCATAACTTTCAGTAGAAAATGGTATCAACATTAAATCAACCTCGCCATACTATTTCCGGTTGTCGAAATGCTAATGCACAGGTTTTTAGATGCATAAAGCAACATCATTTCACCGACATTTATCGAAAGCTTCACATAATTAAATGCGACAAAGCATTTAAAGTTATTCCTTTACTGATTTATAATTCTTTCCCTTACCTCATTAATCAAGAATTTTCGTATACTAACGATGCGATCGAAAACGAAAATACAAAGTAAATCAACAGTATGAACGTTTCTGACCCCGATACGTAATGCATTTTCTCCGAAAAATCGATGTTAAAAACTAAACCGTCAAAATAAACGCAAAAGCTAGAACCACGCAACAACAACAAAATGTTTCAAATGCACATTCTACTTTTGGCCTGCATTAAAAACTTTCCGAAAACACGAAGTTCCGCATCTCTCCAACAAAAAAGAAAAGCTTTCACTTAAGAGACAAAATTCTGAAGATCAACATCACTTGCCTTGATATGGAGAAAATCTCGAACGCCGAACGAGATGGCGTTTCCGTGAACAGGTGAGTCGTCGTCCTCGGAACCATTATAAGCAACGTTCGTCCTCACAGCAAAAGCTACCGGTTTATACTGCAATAAAAAGGAAACTCTCAGAAAAATGTTTAAAATTTCGAGCACACGAAAAAAGAAACAGGTTCAAGGTACCCTCTACTTCCTCAATTAAAGCACTTGTTCGATAAGAGATCAAGCCTTCCTGGTTTCACAACAATGGTGATAACACAAGTTCGCTTAATGACACAGGTGATTGAATCAATTTTGGGCAAGCTGCTTGAAACGCACGAGCAAATGCAACGCTTTCCTCAAAAGACATCATGTTCAAACAGTAGGACATAAGTAAATAAAAAAATTCAGGTTTTCAATCGAAAAACGTTTCGGTGGCGAGTCTCTAACCATTTTTCACTTGGCTCAAACATTTAAGAAACTCCGTCGTGAAGAGTGACCAATTCTTGAATAAACTCTCGAACACAAAGCCGAGCAATTAAAACTTGCCAAATTTTTCGCCATCGTAACTTGCATTTTGCAAGCGATTCTCAGGCGTTATCAACTCTACGAAACAGTTTTTTTAATATACTAAATATGCGTTTTACATTTGAGTAGAAACGAATCTATTCGCCCCATCGGCGTGTGGAATAACGCAGATCACATTTTCCGACATTGGAAAACGCAGTAAGTGAAAAAACGACTTACTTTCGCCTTTTCCAATTGCGTGAGAGCCTGGCGTTCCGTTTCGCGTCGCAGGGCTTCTCTCTCCTCATCCAACGACAGATCCGAGGAAGGCTGGCTGTAAATGGAATCAGCTGAGCCCTGAAAAAAAAGAAAGAAAAGAGATGAGCTTCTCGTTAATGCACATCTGCTAATTTCTCTCCATTTGGTACGCGTCATTCCCACTCGGGGATCTGCTGGGGCGACAATGAACACGGGCGAACTGCAACGATATACTTTAGCTTCTAACGCACCGCGAATGAATGGCCACGATGCAGTTGAGCGACACACATTTGAACGCAAAAATAATGTAGACATCTCCGCCATCTCAGCGAGAATAAATAGATCTCCAACCAAAATGAAGAGCAAGCTCGAGATTTCAACGTGATGAGAGCCGTTTCTACTCGAAAACAAGTGCGAAGATCTACAGCCTCTTCCAAACCAGCACAAAAAAATCAGAATTTTTCCAATTTAACAATAGCAAGTGCGTGATACGGGCTTTTTTTTCACACGATGTACTACGTAATTTATCCTTATCGAACGCAATTTTCATTGACATTGAGAGAAAAAATCAAAAATGTACCGAGGAAATCTTCCGCTTTAAAATACTTCCGAAGAGTGACTTTGGTTGAATTATACCAAAATTACAAATAAGATTTTCGTCGTACATTCAACAGCGAATTTTAAACATTAAATGAAATGATGATTTTTCTTGAGCACTATTCGTTAATTCTAGGGTTTTTTCGTGGTCATCAAGAGATCCATTCACTGTAAATTAATGTATTCTGAGGTGCAGAGTTTTCAATGTACTGTACAGTACTTTCTTCCCTCCATGTTTAAGCGAAGATTTTTCGACAAATAATGAGCAATATTCCGTTTCTTCTCAGAATACCTTTTCTAGCAAAGGTATACCAATCAAAAGCATTAAATCTCAAGATGATTCGCTGGGCCTCTTCCATGCATCGATCCAATTAGACCCAGATCGCAAAAAAAAAAAACAAAAAAACAAAAAAAAAGAAGAAATGTCCTGCTGAAAAGATCACGTAATTTTAAAAATTGTCTTTCTCCGAGAATTTCACACGTCTCGAGTGGCTCATCGTGCTCTGCTTTCTCGATTCGTTGTAATATAAAGTAAAAGACTCCATTAATCACATCTAATTCAAACCTCACAAAAACGTACAATGGGTGGTCCTCTATATTCGCTCTTTTTTTTTATTTACGCACGTAAAATATCGAAGTTTATCTGGAGGTGAGCAACTAAAGACTGACAGAACATGGAATCTAACCTTAATTTTCCGGAACCATAATTCGTTTTATACTCGATTTTATTGTGATGTTCTGCGCTCAAAAAATGATTTTAGAATTCGGAACAGGGCTGTAAAAGAATAGACTAATTCACTTTACTCTCGCATTGTTTCTTTTTCTTGCTTATTGAGAAACATTTCCGCCGAAAAAAGCATCAGAGTTTACAGCAAGGAAATGCTAATAATCAACGATAAAACAGCATATTTTTTGGGTAATCAGACAAGCGTGTTCTCCCCTTGCTGGATCACTTCGGATCTGAACTTAATTCAGATTAAAATATATCCGAATTCTGAGCTAATTCAGAAAAGCTAAATTCTACAACAAATTCGGAAAAGCTCACGGAAAATTCTCGGGCCTTGAAAACGCTTGGAAGTCAGCGTCTAAAACTGTTTCCGACGCAGTACTCTTACCCCCGAATTCATGAAAAAATGTGTGGATCATTTGAACTCGAACACTAAAAATGAATCAGTGCGATGAAAGAACTCATACTTCGACGAACGCCGTGAATATCGAATTTCGATAACGGAAAACGTTATCGTCTTTATACCTCTTTACAGGAAACGTACTGAACACAATAAGGCACAACTGCAGAAGCACAAAATCTCTTTGTTCCTACTGTATCTCCATCATCAGCTGAACATCGACCCGCACGATTGAACGGGGCGAGATAATCTCCGAAGCCAGCGGATGACAAAAGCCGGCAATACATATTGCGTAACATCTTGCATCTCAGCATAAGGAACACATGAAACGATGCGACATGTGTTCCTCACAAGCGTTCACCGGAACAAAGAGAGAAAAAAGAAAAAGAGACCTATAACTCCCTTCCGAGCTTCGCCCCGACCCTCTTCGGCATCCCATATTCTTGGCAGGAACGACCAACAACACCTGCCAAAGAATTTTCACCTGAGATCCCCCTCCCCCACGGCACAACTGGTAAGCGACGAAATTTCGACTCCCTGGATACTAAACAACCTAGATCCACATGTGCAACAAACAAGCACACATGAAGTAAATTACGGGAAACGAAACCGATCCGCAGTTCATCCATCGGGTAAAGGCTTCGAGTCAAGCACATTGTTTCCACAAGGGCAGAGAAGCTACAATTTTTATCTCGCTTGAAAGCTGACCGCACGACTATTCAATTCATGGGCCAATTTGACAATGTACAAAAGTTAGAGACATCATCAATTAGGATCAATAGAAGGTCATGCTAGTCAAGTCTCAGGCCTGCGTCAAGTTTCTCGAAACTGGACTCAATTCAAGTACGGTACTTCATAAGGGTGTCATTTCTGCAGCGTCAGACCAATTTTCGATGGAGTGAGACAGCTTAAAAAACGAAGCATCAATACTTCCTCATCAATTCTGCAGCGAACTTTTCATGAATGCTCTGCACGTGTTGAAAATACAGTAAATACAGTAAGAAAAACAAAAATGACCTTGACTTGGATTCTACGATCACTCCGAAGCCGTTACGCGGGAGATTGTTTTCCATCTGTAACAGTCTTTCATATGACGGCTCGAGCTCCATTTAAATGCATTTTAATGTAACAGGCCTATGATACAGTAATCGTCGTGGACACTAAATATACAAGAGCACAATACAGTATAGATCTTTCAACGTCAACCTCGATCACTTTTGGATTGGGTAGAGCCCAGTGAAGCAAATCAGCAGTTGTGCTTTTAAACTCATCCCAGGGAAACCGTACGAAACCAATGAATAATATTTGCTGCATCACACGCACATCAGAGTTAATAGGTTCCGCTACGTCGCTTTGCATACACGGAACACTTCATAATAAGTCACAACTGGCAACATAATGAGTAAAATTGATGAAATTCAACTCACTTGTTTCTGGACTTTCCTCATCATCCGAGCTCGTCCATCAGACATGTCCGTGTTTGTGTAACTATCGTTCCGAAAAAAACCGTATTGCGGACGAACGGGGAACAACGCAACGAGAAAACAATCCCCGCGGTAACGAGAATGGAAGGGATGTCACGTAAAATGCTAAAGGACTTTCAATTGAAGACCCAAGACACACTGACAGCGACATTGATGTAAAGCGTCGCTATAAACGCGGTCGTGGAGCTATGCGACTTCAGGGCAAAGCGACTTCAAGGATGTCACGCAGCAACGCCCCGGGATGAACACAAGACGCCGCCATCTTTTATTGCTGCGTCCATCTATCTGAGGTTGAACCAACTACGAACGCATCCACTGAAAGTGATAACCGACATCTGTACAATACTGTGCAGTGTATATGAATCATAAACAGCAGTAAAACGGATGCGTTATACAGTACTGTACTCCGTCTAGTAACGCTCTTTAAAATTACTGTACATTACAATACAGTTCTGTATGAACCGCAGTGGTTTTCTTAGAGTAGAGGCTTTGAGGGGAATTCAGCATTTGTACAAATGAGTGGTTTCTGCCGCTGTTGCTGATCGGAGTGATCGCAGAATAACATGCAGACTTTTCGCAATCGTAAGCCGCTTGCTGTAAAAATTGAATGGAAATGGGCATCAGCAGTTTTTCGAGGCTCCGCTGCTGCAGTTGTATACAGTTATGTATATGCTGCATTATATCGTACTGCTGTATATAAGCACTGCCATCAAGCACATTCATATATATATATATATATATATATATATATATATATATATATGTACACATACTCGTATATGCTGTAACCAAAAATGAATGATGGTCATTTCGGCGCGCTGACTGAAGTATTTGAAAATTTGAGCCATCGTATACACAAGGCACACATTTAACCACTGCGCGCCCCCTGCTGATGTGATGCTGTGACACATACAATATGCAGTACTGTACAATAGTACGGTATTTAATCCAGTTCATCACAGGCACCTTTTTTCAATAAATTGGGGCAAAAATGAGGAGCACGTCATGGTAGGGTATGAAATTCCAAGTGTCTTTTTTCAGGCTTGAAACATTTTTCCCACTTTCTATTTTTTTCAGAGTTTTCAGTATGTTAATTTATGAAAGAAGAAAATTTAAATTGAATTCCATTTTAAGTGGACTCCAATTTAAATTGTTGCCCAACAAAAATTTTGAAATACTGTATGTGTAAGTTTTGGTGACTGCAAACTACAGTACAAGGTGTGCATCGTAAGCAGGGATACAATTTTTTCCCCAAAATGTTAGCTACAAATTCAAGATGCGCGTGGTATATTCCAGGGCGCCTGTCTGGTACTCAAATAAATACTGTATACTGTACAGTAGATGTATTTAGTGTGTAACAACGCGGTAGCATACTTAGTATACAGTAATGTATGCATATACATTATACAGTGTATATAACGCGTTTTAAGGTCCGCAGTGGGAGGAACAAGCAGTAGGATCCTACAGGGGTCTGGGGGGAAATAATAAGGATGTCCTGTAAGGTGTGTCTGTGGCCTATCAATTTTGCACCTTGTTTACTGTTTGTTTCTCAGAAGGGAAAACGCGTCATTGCATTAAGTTGTCAGGATGGCCAAGTGGTCCAAGGTGCTGTGTTCCGGTCACAGTCTGGTTCTGCAGGCATGGGTTTGAATCCCACTGGGATTCAAATTTTTTGTATTTATTTTTCTTTTATAAATAAATAAAAGAAAAGATTTACACTTGGTGCACTGCGGACACTCTAATACTTGTATAATACACAAGGCATCAATTTTTTCTTGCTTCAAGAGCAGCACAAGATTTGATTGATTTCTTGTCCAATTTGGCATTTCTTTTGAACATATAAAAAGGCCGCACACAGAATGAGCATGATGTTGTACTGCTTCATCAATACTACAGTATACTGTGATATTACAAATTCAACGGAAATGTGCAGCCTTTAAACTGAATTTAAAAGTCAGCGTTTTGAATCTTCGAAATTTTTTTCTGAAAATAGGGGAGTGCTACGGGGGTGGGGGGTTAAATTTTCAAAATTATGCCTCATCATGTTTCATCAGAACCCGAAGCAGCCTTGCAGAATAAATTTGCTGTTTCACATGATCGTGTTGGTTGATTGCTGCGCTTATATATTTTCTGAAGTGAATTTCGTAAAACTTCTGCACACCAGTTCGATCTACGATAAATACACCATTCTAAATTAAATCTGATGGCTTTTTTTAGTCGAGATTTTGATTCTGCATAAAGAGCCAGCAGATTGAACTGCTTTTTTTTTTCAAAATCTCCTTTACATAATGTGTGGTGCAACAGAAAAAATTCGTATACAGTATATTGAACAGAAGCAATAAGTTTTACACGTGTACAGTAATATTCGCAAATAAATATAGATGTTGCGACTCAGCACTTGAAAATAAATACCGTAATTCCGCTGTATATATATATAGGCGCGTAGGCTATTACATCTGGATAAAGAAAATACAGTATAACATAGTTTACGTATTACTGTACCAAAAATAAATACTTTTGGTCTGCACATCTGATTAAATTTGGCTAGTTAAGTTGAAATAGAGAGAAAAATATGGATCATTCCTGCAATTTTTGATGCGCTTTTCAATGGATGTGAATGAACGGAGTCTATACATATGAATGAAATTTTTAAAATTTGATCAACAGTCTTTTTTATTTTGGTTGATCGTCTGCGTAGAAAAAGTATAGACATCACTCCGCGGATGATCGTCGATTTTCATCTTATTATTAATAATTATTGTAGATTAAAAAATTAATCTAAAAAACCACGTTTTCAAAAAGCAAAAAATAACCTTAAACGTGGNCAAGAAAAGTGAGTTCATAAAAACGTGGTAAAAATGCGGTACAGCATCTTCAATGATATACTGTACGTACTCTGTATTCCGCTGGTTTTTTTTTATTTATTTCAAGACGTGTCTGCCTTCGTGCAAAATGTTAACCCTATACTGTATTTGAGAAGTATACGCGGGTGATGAATTTAAAATATCAAGAAAATCGGGTGATGCTTCTTCAGATTTTTCTGTGAATGTAACGAGGAAACAAAACACGACGGGGATTTATTTGGTTCCAATTCAAATGATGGATTAAGGCATGACTAAAGATTTAAAAAAAATAGGACGGGTCGCAGCCAAGACAAAATTCTGTTAGTTTTTGAGTTAATGTAGACAATACTTCGTTTGGATTGTGTTAATCTTACATTTTTATAATTGTGATTTCGACGGCATTCTGAGCCACGACATCTTTCTGGTCCGTGAGAAAACACACGCTAGAGGTGACATGTGTGAACCAAAGGTTGCGCATGAAAAAAATCGTATTACTTTCCCGAACTTTTTTGTAATTGAAGTAAAAGAGTTCAAAACACGTGCAATATTATTTAAAAAATGTTTTATTTGCAACTCGAATAAAATTCCAAGCCCAATCACAAATCTGGCGTCGTTTACCGTAGAAACATAATGTTTCGGATGCAACACGTCCCAGGAGTTGCTCTTCCGTCTTCATGCTCCCAACATGGAGCAGATTTCGAGATTATTACGATGAGCCACAGCATCGCTTCAATAGACCACAGTATCGACTACTCCGGAAAAATTTGCAGGTCGACAGACATTTTCGGCGCGGTCTTGAACGCATTGAAACCATTTATTCGTTTTTTAGTTAGTCTTTTGTGTCCGCCACTTTGCCCAGACGCCCTATAACTTATAATGGCGGATTGCTTCATGATTTGCTGCGATCTTTCAAAACGAACCACCTTTCTGGCTTGGGTTTTCTTCAGAGAGTTCTTAAACTTACCGTCGCATATTTTAATGAACAAATGAAAATTGATGAACTCACGGTAAGCTTTCCTTCTGAGGATATGGCTTGGAAAATCCATCTTCCTTCAACGACAATTTGAGACATACATTACATCACCGCAGAATCCACAAAACGGACAACGAACACAATGACGATTCGCATCTCGACAAATATGCATGGGTTAGGAAATGAGCTTAATGCTTGCTGCTTGTACTGTTGTACACAATCAAGCACACCTTCCATTTTTCGGAAAAATAAAATCACTCTTTCCCGAATACGAAAAAAATATATAGAACTTTAAAAAAAAAGAGTGAAGAAGAAAAAAACATGGAACAGATTTGAATCTTCAAAATCCAAGAAAAAACTCAATATTCGGGCCGGAGGAAACATGCTGGAAGACTTCAAATCGAAAGATTTATTATCGAAAAGTTGTAGAGCAACATTCGGGTGTTTGCATTAATCGGAAAATATCGCCGCATAAACCTTAGATTAATTTGCTCACCTCCGTTTGAACCAACATTGAAAATAATATGAAATCCAAACTTGCCAACTCAAGAAAATGGATTTGACTTAGCTCAATTGGTTACCTGCAGAACACTACTCAACCCAATAGAAAACTTTCATCATAGGACTTCAAACTGAAAAAATGTCTTGAACTAATTAGAGGATGGGGTTCATTTGCCCGTACAATTCAGTCTTTTCCTTCCTATCAAAGCACATCAAATTTTGTCTTTAATTTATCTTCTCTTTACTATATGTGTCAAGAAAATACTGTACAGTATTAGCCAAAAGGCCTTAGAAAATTCAACCCACCCAGGTTTGAGAGGAAAAGCCTCAAAGTTTTAGCAAGGGAGATTTTTAATGCATTAATTATTTTAAAGGGAATTCATCAGATGGGGACTTGAAAAAATTTGACTTTTAGTTAGGCTGAATGAGGGAGGTTTTTATTTTGTCTTATGGTGGTTTGATTTAAGGAGGCTCAATTGGGTAAATATACTGTACAGTACTGTATATGGATCGATCCCATCAATTAAAGATTGCATGATGCTCATGTGACTACGAAAATAATTTATGTTTACCTATACATTCAGCAGAATTTGCACAGTATTTGTTATTTACATTCATGGGACGTGTATATTATTGATCATTGAAATCAAAAACCTGTTCAAATGAATGTCCGCTGTAACTGATACAGAACATAATTTTTTTAGTGATTAATTTCCTCATAGGTAAGAACCGTGCACCCAGTTTGTGCAATCAGCAGCAGCTGCTTGTAAGTCTAACTTTCTTGACTTACGACAGAAAAAAATAAATACTGTACAGTATACTATAATTGTCATGTGTACAAGGTATACGTATCTGATAGAGCAGGCTTTAGTTTTCTGAAGTAGGATCATACCTTGTCCTCAGCATTTGTTGGTACGCGAGGAGTAAAGATTAGACATCATCGAATGGCATAACGGCAGTGTTGCTGTTGGATGTGCAGTCGGTGGAAACGGGGATGAGGTGTGATTTTCATATCATTTTGTAGTCATTATAGGGAAGTTGTTTCCTTTATGGTTCCTAGATGTCGCGAAAAGAACGTGTGAAGGCGCGATAGAGCGGTGGGTCGCCGAATCCGGAGAGTTATTTTGTTCGGCATATGTCGAAGATCTTGCTCAGAGGGTATTGTGCGATTGCCAGTTTGTTAGGCGGTGGCTTTGAGTGTGAGAGGGTCTCCCCGATTCACTGATCAAGTGAAAATTTGGGGCACACCCAAAATTTACTGTTGAATTTCGATTTTACAAATTCTTTTGAATAGCCAAGTCTAGGCGAGGAACTGATCAGGATGGTGTAATCCGTTATCTTCACTAGATAAATCGCAGCATGTCTGATCCGACGCGTCTTCAGGCCGTCGATGTGGAAAGAGACTCGGCGAAATTAACTCAGACTCACCTGGATTTCATGCGACGACTGGAGAAAGAAAACGTCAACCGAGTTTTGAAGTTGCGTGCCATCCGTCGAAAGAATATATTGACGGGGGCTCTGCTCGGTGTTGGTGTTTTGTCCATTTACGGCTATTCGATCTTCGCCGTTAAACAAGAAACATTTTTGGAAGAGTAGTATGATTCGACTTCCACCAATGCTGGGAGTCCGCGATCTCCTTCGTCTGTATAATGTGAGACTTGAGAACGTAAAAAATCTACGAAAAACTTCATGAGATTGACGCTCTGCTGTCTCGTGATTTCTTCTAGGTCAGAGCGCAGAAGAAGCTTTCGCAAAATTTTCTCTTGGATCCTGCTATAATCAACAGATTTGTTTCAAAAGCTCGCGTTGCCGGTTGTCACGTTGTTGAAGTTGGTCCAGGACCTGGGTCTCTAACTCGTGCGATACTGCAGCTTCAGCCAAGATCACTGACGGTCATTGAAAAGGACGAACGGTTTTTACCTTTGCTGGAATCTTTGGCTGACACTTGCGTTAATGAAGATGGGCGAATGGTAAAAGCAGGAAAATCTAGAGATTTTTTGGTTTATATATCGCTTTCTCTCATATTCTATGCAGAGAATCGTGCACGATGACATCTTGACTTTCGATATGGGTTCATTGGGAATTCCCACAGAAGTCCGTCGAGACTGGAATAATAGAGAACTTCCTGATATTAGCTTGATCGGAAATTTGCCTTTTTCTATCGCAACCCGCTTGGTTATCAATTGGTTATTCGACATTGCAACGAGAAGAGGTCCTTGGGAGTATGGAAGAGTACCAATGGTGTTGAGTTTCCAGGAAGAAGTGGCGCAAAGAATAGTGGCTGAACCTGGCACAGAGAACCGGTGAGTTTGATCCGTTTTCTAGATTATTCTTGAGGGTATTTGAAGAAATTCTATCGTGCTTTAGTTCTCGGTTATCGGTCATGTGCCAGGCATTCTGCGATGTTCGTTACGGCATGACGATTCGGGGTGGCTCATTCGTCCCTGCGCCTGATGTTGATGCTGGCATCGTTGTTTTCACGCCTCGAGCTACGCCATTGGTACCTGTCGAAGAATTCGGCTTCCCATTTTTCGAACGTGTCGTCAGAGACATTTTCAATTGCAAGAAGAAAGATTTCCGCAAAGGAGTCAAGAACTTGATCCCAGAGAAATTGCATGAAATCCTCCTTCCTGAAATCGTAGCAAGAGCTGGCATTGAAGTGGATCTCGAGTGTTCTGGTCCCATATATTTGACCGTATCTGATTTCGGGAGAATAGCCTCTGCCATCAAAGAACTGCATGTTGCTATTCCTGAACTGGCGAAGTACGATTTCAGGTAAGTTATACTCTGGTATCAGCTTTAATGAAAAGATCGCGCTGCTGCAATTGTAGCCTTTCCGTGACCCAAACAATCGGAACCTTTTTTTTGCTCGTTTAGATGTACAGCAAATCGATAATTTATTCTGATCACTTTCTTCCGCTCCTTGTATAATGCATTGGGGGCTGCGCCACTTTCGTGGACAGTGCAATGTGAACGACGTCTACTCGACGTTTAATCGTTGAAGGAAATTTGAAGAAGCTTTTTAAATAATTGTGCTATTGTAATATGCACCGTGAACGACCTCCCTCTTTCTATGAACAATAGCAGTAATAATGTGTATGCGTATACCTGTACCAAGTGCATTACATTACAAGCATGTAATAATTCCTTACATGACGTGAGGATTTGTGGAAGTTACAGAAGTATTCTACGTTGTTTCAAGTTACGTTGTTTCAATACTTGAGTGAACTTTCCAGCAGTGCAGAATCGTTTTGTAATTATATATTTTAACTTCCTGGTTCATGAAATGGTGCTGCCGCGGTTTATTATGACATTGAAATTCCCGTGGCGAGTGAAAATGCCAAGATCTATTATGATTATTATTTTATTTTCTGGAGTTCCAGAAGGAACTCATTTGCTTTGTACGCAGCATCAGGTTATGAAAGAGTGGGTAGGATGGCAACCATATGCGGTTTCGTAGAACTTTAGGTAGCTTTGAGGAATTCATGTGATGCTATGATTCCCTGCTGATGTTTTTTTCTCTCCGGGATTTTTCTTCAGGTCGGCAAGGACGACAAGAACAAACGGAGAAGAATTATTGCCTCGCGTTGAACGCTTCTTAAGAGATGGTTGGAATGCTGGTGGCCCTCTTTCCGCATTTGCTGTTTAGTCAGGGTAGTGAAAAGGTGTTGAAATTCAAGGGAGAGTTGTGCAATGAACCTGTGCTTCTTGCGTGTTGTGACGCTTTTGTTCCTCTTATTTTTTTGCTCAGGAAAACTCTTTCAGTAGATCGAAATGTATATGCGCGCTTCGCAAATCCTGCAGGCTAATGCTCTGCTTCGTGTGCCCTTCGTACGCATGTCAGCAGCCGCGTTGCCAAAACCCAATCCGAACCCCGAAGTGCATCATACAAAAGTAAGTCCTAACTTCACGCATCGGATCAGGTGAAATTTCTCACAAATCCCTTTACTGTACTGTAATTAGATTTTTATCGATAACGAATGGCACAATTCGGAATCGGGCAAAACTTTCCCTACATTGAATCCGGCCACAGGAAAGAAAATCGTTGACGTGCAGGAGGGAGACAGAGTATGTTCCTTAACCTTCTCTAAAAGTGTCGACTTAGTTTCTAATTTCAATACGTTTTCAGGCCGATGTCGCGAAAGCTATTAAGGCTGCCCGTAGAGCTTTCGATTTCGATTCTCCTTGGCGTAAGATGGACGCGTCTCGTCGTGGAGAGCTTTTGAACAAGTTAGCCGATTTGATGGAACGGGATATTGTACAACTGGCTGTGAGTTGAATTCACGTCGATCAGCCTAACATTTTTGTTCATTATCTGGTTATTTTTCTGCTGGAAACTGCATCATGAATGAAGGGATGCCTGCACCCAGCCTAGGTGTCTTTCAGATCTTTCATTTGGTTTTTTCCGGTGGGAAATCAAAGGAATAAGAAATCTCCATGATCTTGGGTTGATTCGAGAATAAAATTGCCCGAAATCACCTCAAAATAAGGCACCCTAACTCATTATACTTTACTTACTGAGTGCCTGACCAATTTTTCGCATGCATCGAGCAGTTTTCTGCGGATTCTTACTGTACCTGTTATTGCTGATGAATTATTTGTCACGTATTTTATAAAAACTGTTCATATTTTTGCTCGATTAGTTCAAAATCGAATTCCAATGTGCAGTACTTCGAAGTCATGTGAAATACTGTGATACGATGGATTTGGGCTTCCGTTTGTGGTTGCATCCTTTCTGCAATCTGAGTGACATCGAAGTTGTTGTTGAAATTGGTTTTGTGTATTATTCAGAAGTGCAGGAAACAATTCCGAATGATTGGTGTCGTGATCAAAAAGAAAATATGTTGCTCATAGTAAAATTACAGTACTTTATTCCCCTCTGCAATGTTAAAACTTCTGCAAAGCTGTTCTATGAAGTACAGTATTCGTGTTAACTTTTGCCTTACCTTTCAGTGCTGAAATTGTTTTCTCTTGCCGTGTTTTTGGAAGAGTTTGGAAACACTCGACAATGGCAAACCGTTCAGCCAAGCAGTTGCAGGTGATCTTCAACTCAGCATCAAATGCCTCCGTTACTACGCTGGTTGGGCAGACAAAAATCATGGGAAGGTCATTCCCATTGAAGGCGATTTCTTCACGTATACGCGGCATGAACCCGTTGGGGTATGTGGTCAAATAATCCCTTGGAATTTTCCTATCCTGATGCTGGCTTGGAAGTTGGGCCCTGCCTTATCAATGGGGAACACCGTGGTCATGAAACCCGCCGAACAGACTCCGCTTACCGCCTTGTACATAGCTAATCTGATCAAAGAGGCCGGTTTTCCGAAGGGGGTTGTGAACATTGTTCCGGGATACGGCCCCACTGCCGGAGCAGCGATTGCCGAAAGCATGAAAGTGGATAAAGTTGCATTCACAGGCTCCACGGATGTGGGTCACAAGATTATGCAAGCCGCGGCGGCGTCCAACATGAAACGAATTACTCTGGAGCTGGGAGGCAAATCCCCGAACATTGTTTTGGCGGACACGGATATCGATTATGCCGTAAAAACATCCCACTTTGCGCTGTTCTTCAACCAGGGACAGTGTTGTTGCGCCGGGTCGAGGATTTTTGTAGAGGACAAAATCTACGACGAATTCGTGAGCAAGAGCGTTGTCGAAGCAAAGAATCGTAAGCTGGGTGACCCGTTTGACATCAACACTGACCAGGGTCCACAAGTGGACAATGACCAAATGGTGAAGATTTTGGAATTGATCGAGTCTGGCAAGAAGGACGGAGCGACCTTGCATACTGGAGGCTCTCGAGCAAAAGCATTTAATGGCTTTTATGTCGAACCAACTGTCTTCAGTGACGTTACAGACAATATGCGCATTGCTAAGGAAGAGGTGCGTAATTTTAGGCAATTTGGTCTGCATATGCTCATGCACGAATTAAGTGCAGTGCGGTATGTGACAATCGGAGGCCTAAGTTATTTCAGTGAAGGCGGGCCAGACACATGCGACGAAAATGAGTAAAACATGGAAAAAAATTGTTTTTGTCTTCTTAGCGACTTTCGCTGGCCACTTTACAGGAAGTATTGTACTTCAATTATTCAACAGCGACAGTTGACTCAACATTGACCGTAACTTATTAATATAAGATGGCAGAAAGTTCAATTCATTTTTCCGTTTCTAGGTATATTGCGGAAGCGTTGGTCTTCAGAAGGAAAATGTCCTAGGAAATTTTCTCATTTAATTTTCACTGAACTGTAATTATCCTATTCATTTATAATATTGAATGCTGTATTCATTTTCTACAGATGATTTGCATTTAGGGGGTTGATCTGGTTCTGTGCTCACTTCGTATAAAAAACCGAGACAATTTAATGTCGCAAATGTCTTCATCGATCTCTTGGATAATTCCTTCAGGATGTTCTTTGCCGATTTTTTGACCTTCCTGATCCATTTATAAAAACAAAGAAAATTCTTCTCCAGAACCTCGCAGGGTTAATTTGGCCTCAGTAAAAGAAGTCGAATGCCCATTTGCAAATACACTTAACGTGCAACATTCATCTATTTTCACGTCGTGTCAAATAGACGTGCAGGAGTCGAATGTGATTCCTATGATTTGAGCTCTTCTCAAATATGAAGAACCTCTTCAAGACAATAAACCCGTTTTTAACTTGTTATAACTGTCGAGCATTAGCTGAAAGAGCTGCCAGAATCGATATTTTCGGATTGTTTTCGAGGATGGGCCAGGATTCAGAAATGCATGGGAATCGGCGGACAGTTATCGAAGAATGACTAAGAGATTACTGTCAACATTTGTGAAAAAAGTTCTTTGCTTTTTTTAAGAGGTTTCCAAGAATCTGACCAACTCTCTTCTCAGCTGTTCGAAGCATAAAATCTCATTCATGACAATATTCTTCATCACAGATATTTGGGCCCGTGCAACAAATCATGAGGTTCAAGTCAATGGATGAACTCGTGGATCGTGCGAACAATTCCATTTATGGTCTTGCTGCGTCAGTATTCACTCAAGACATTGACAAAGCTAATTATTTGATTCAGCGCCTGAAAGCTGGAACTGTGTGGTAAGCAATTATTTTACTTTTATTAATCTGATCAAAGATGCTCAAGAATCGATACACAATCTTTCATTTCAGGGTTAATTGCTATGATGTTTTCGGAGCTCAAGCACCGTTTGGCGGATACAAAATGTCTGGACTTGGGCGAGAGCTTGGAGAATATGGTTTGCAAGCATACACAGAGGTTAAAACTGTGACGACAAAGATTCCGACGAAGATAAGCTAAATCGTCCTGTGGATCAGCTTTGTGAAACGCTTTTTTTTTCATTCATTGCGTAGCTTTCTTCGCAACCTTCTTCAGCATGGGACGTTTTTCGGGTGTGGAACGGGATTAACGGAGCTCCGTAATTGTGATTTTGTCTTCCGTCGAAGCAGATACGTGGTCTGCTGAAGCCTCGTGGTATATTTGCAACAAATAAATGTTATCGCAATTGCTTCTTATGGTTGAATTCGTATGCAAATCCGTGGCGCTGTATATTTTATTCTCTTTGCCTTCCCCATTGCAGTTTTTTTGTGATTGCCGATTATCGTAATGGACGGCTATCCAAGCTACCAGAATGTGATGTATAAAGATGGGGAATTCAAGAAGTTGTGCCGTAAAGTTACAGAAAACATTGGGAAAATTTCTCAAAATGCGACTGAAATGCAAAAAATGATCGCCCAACTCGGATCAACGCAAGATTCAGAAGCGTTTAAATCAGAGCTGTAAGTTCGTTACGATGATTCCGGTGTTTTGTATTTATGCTTGTGTTTCTCTACAGACACAATCTTCAGCATTATACGAAGATGCTTTCTACCGACACGAAAGATAAATTGAAAGAGCTACGTCAAATCCTTCCTGAGATATCACCATCGGAACAAGTGAGTTTCGACCGGTTCTGCTTCGGTTTGCGTGCTTTCTCTGGAAAATAGTCTGTTGTAATTTTAATAGACGATTCGGAAAAGGGTGGAGAGAATGATCAGCCACGGAACTGGTTAAGACTTGAGATTGTCGAAAGTATATTTTGTAAACGGGAACGTTCTTGTAAATTTTAGGCAGTAGAATTATTCCGTTAAGAAGAATATCTCGCGATTCCAATTCCGTTCCAGTTCTTCTGTATACAGGAAAATGTTGTTATAAGAATTTTTTGGGACCTCAGGAAAGGTTATTGTACTGACTAATTTGTTGTAATGAGCTTTTCAGAATTAATGACTGGAAAAAATTTGTACATCATACCTGCCTATAATCATTCAGATCTTGCTTTCTGGTATTCTCTGGTTTTTTATGATTGTTTGAAAAACTGAGTGATATTCTGAAAACGAATTAGCTTAAATCGTGCGTTCCCTCTGTTGCACCAATCTCTTTATTTTGAGGATGATGTATGAAACATATTGGAAGTATGTTTGTCATTGATTACAGCTTATACCCATGCTACAAGGCGTAGTTAGTCAAATTGGAAATTTCAGACTGTGCATGTCTTCATTGGGAAATTTCTACCTGGAGAATCTATTGAACATTCCTCAAAAAAGTTTGTTCTGCTGGATTCGGGATTTTGTTACGCAGTAATTAGATTTTTTTTAAAACATTTTCTTGATGGGCTTTCTGTCAGGACATGGGAGAGGTTTTTTAAAATTGAAAAATCCGTTGTAATTGTATTTGTTGTACTGTATCTTGTAACGAGATTTCATTTTATTTACCGTATAAAGATGGCGGACGTCTTCTTTGCTGGAATCTATCCTAAATTGAAATCTCGATGTACTGTTCTGATGCCATGTTTTTTTTCCCTCTTACAGAAATTCCAGAGGCTGATGCTGGACAGATTAACAAATGACTTCACAGCTGCGTTAAACCAGTTTCAAAATCTTCAGAAAGCGGAGGCAGAGAAAGAAAAGCAACAAGTCAAAAGAGCGCGGAATAAGTCAATGGGTATTCTTCCGCCTCCTTCATCTTCCGCAACAGCATCACTCATTCCCCTCGAGCCGCAACCTCAATACCAGCGTCAGATGTTTGCCGAGGAAGATGATGACTTGTTGCAGCTACAGGACCGAGAAGCTGCAATCAACCGCTTGGAAGAAGATATTCGAGACGTGAATGAAATATTCAAGGACTTGGCGACGCTAGTTCACACCCAAGGGGAAATTGTGGATAGTATCGAAGCTTCGGTGGAAACCGCTTATATCCAAGTTGATGAAGGTGTTCAACAGCTTCGGAAAGCCAATCAGCATCAGGTTTGTGAACTTCATTTTTCCGAGGGCTATTTAGGTCACTTCACACCTCTCTATAGTTATTATTTTCAAATGCTGAGAATACAGGGTGATTCATGCGCTACTAGACCCGCAACGGTGTGATTTTGAGAAGCCTTGAACGTACAAATATTGAATCGATATTTAAAGGAATCGATGTGAAATGGGCTACAGGTAAAATATTGTAAAAAGTAAAATCCTGATATCGTGTGGACAACTACAGATTTTCGGCGCATGGAAAAAAAGAGGGGAACATTTTTTTTTTATACTCTAGGGAACCGAACTTGTGGCTGGTGCTGCGAAATGGGAGATCAACGTCCTAATCACAAGCATTATTGTCGGTCAAAATGAGAGATGCGAAACAATTTGCCTTTTTAAGGAAAACCGTTTTTGTCTCACTATCGTCTGTTCGATTATTTGTCACTGAATACTGCTAATATACGGTATTACTTGGATTTTTTTCATCTCCAAGCCTTACTTTGTTCAGGAAGATTTGAGAGTATCTTTCCTATCCTATAAAATTCAAAATTGCATATACTATATAACAGCCCCAAATTCCTCGAGCACGACTAGGTAATAATACTGTATATGATTATAATTTACAATTATGTGATTGATTCGCCGAAATATTTACGTTTTCTAGGTCTAGCGTGTGAATAAGCTTTTATGAAAATGAAAAGTTGCTGTGCTCTTGAAACATCGCCTTATTACGCTGATTCGAATTTAAAAAGTAAAATAAACACCGGAGAGCTGCAGCAACAATAACCCGAAGAATAGTCAAGATTTCGGATTTTCAATGTGAATAAGTGTTGAATTTAAGCATCACACTTATGAAGTTTGCTGATTTCTGTATATTGCAGACTTCGGCCAGAAAGAAGAAGCTGATTTTGATTTCCATCGCCATTGGAATCTTGGTGACCATGGGTCTCGTCATCTACTTGTCTTCTTGAATTTTTTTTTAGCTGTTCCCGGGAATTTGAGCGTTTATCGATTGCAACTTGAGTGTGTGGAGAAAGGTTGTCTTTTTCTTCCAGGGATTTGGATGAATTGCATGAGTATTATTCTACCGTAGGCGAAGTGGCTTTCAGTGTTATGACGAGCCCGAAATTTCCCTGGTCTTTGGATCATAAGTAATTACCAAAGCAGCTGTTCCTGATTCGGGTGAACGTGACTCCGGGGCGAAAATGCAAGCGGCGTATTTTTCAAAAATTTCTTCGTCATTCGTTTCAATTGCATTCGTGACACAGCAATCGGGATTCAAAGTGCGAACATTTCTAGTCCACAACTACTGTATTGATGATTTCTTGCAGTTGTATCACTTCGGACTGGTCGCGAAAGTAAAGTACTGTAGTAATTTTGCAAGTAAAATTTACCTTAATTTTCAAGCTTTTGTCTTGGAATAAGCATGAGGTTAAAGGTCATTCTACAGTGCTGTATATCTTTCCAAGTATCAATAAATTAACAGCGTTGGATAGATTGGTATTCATCACGTGTCCATTTCGATCCTGTCAATTTCTCAAATTGTAGAATCACAGATTCTCAAGTGACATTTATTGCATCAAAAGGTGTAATATAACCGCCATACTTCGCAACAACGGTACGAAATCATTTTTTCATGTCATGATGGCACAAAAAATGGTGAATTGAGAAAATTCATTCCATCCAGCTGTGAAGAAAAATACGGAATGCGGTTGTTTAAAAGCGTAATCGACATGATGAAATGCTTGAAAACGAAGTAAGAATTTTGAAATTGTTCGAGGCATTAGCTCTGTTTATTCAAGATTACAATATTCATTGGTAAAAGAAAATGTGTCCCGTCCGCACTAATAATTAAAAAATAAGTTCATCGCTTTTGTCACGCATTGCTGTAGGTTGTGTTTACGTTTTTGTGCTTTATTATTTGAAAACAAAATCTTCACGATGGACACTTTTCTTCAACCCCCAAATGAAAGGTACTCGGTGGAGTGTAAAAAAAAAAAACATGGAACGGAAAGGAACGTTCAAAGTGGAATTTTTGAAGAATTTGGAAGCTGAAGTTCAAGCGCGATGGGAAGCTGAGAAACTGTGCGAGGTGGACCCACCAGCGGACCCGAACTCAACTGAATCGAAGTTCTTCATCACTTTTCCGTATCCATACATGAATGGACGCTTGCACTTGGGACACACTTTCTCCTTGTCAAAAGCTGAGGTAGAATTCTCGATCGCGAGCTCTTCCCTCTTTCTCGAACTGCGAAATAAAATTTAACATGTGGCTGCGTTTCTATAGTTCGCAGTCAGATTCCAACGGATGTTGGGCAAACGAGCTTTATGGCCGTTTGGTCTGCATTGCACGGGGATGCCCATCAAAGCGTGTGCTGACAAGCTCAAGCGAGAGATGGAAGATTTTGGATTTCCTCCGCAATTTCCCGAAGAAGATGAAGATGCTGCGGAAGTTGCCGAAATAAAAGATGTGAACTTTACACCGGAATCAAAAGCGAAAGGAAAAAAGGCAAGCTGAGCTTAGATTTCGTTTTTCCGCTTTTAGCGTGAAAGCGGAAAAAGCATTTGTGCTATTAAATAGTTACTGTTCTGGTGTGCGATCTTCTATTACAATATCAATAGATCAACCCTGTAGGAAGTAATATATTGGTCCGCTATTGTCTACCTAAATATATGGCTGCCTTGCAAGACAAGATGAATAAGTTTATGGAATTCATTGTGGAAGCACACAATTCATTGGGCGTTCTGTACCTTTTCACTTTCAATGAAATTATGACTGTATACATGATGACTTAGGGTCGATTTAACAAAAATGTCCATGGATTATCGTAAAGAAATATATAGAGCTGAAGTCGACAACCTCGGAGAACTCGCTTTGCTCTGACGCATGAAGCTTGTGCGAGAATAAGGCAACTTATCTTAGCTTAGCCGAGAGGAAAAGGTTTAGAATTATGCCACAAATTCATCCTTGGAGAGACTTCACGCAAATAGAGATGGTACGGTACATGAAATGCAAGAACAAACCTGTTGCTGCGGTAGATCGCAAACCAGGACTGAGTTTTTGCTGTGGATCGACTTTTAAAACGAGACCAAAATATCTTCTGATTCTACAGAGTAAAGTGGCTGCGAAGACCGGTTCGGGAAAGTTCCAATGGGACATAATGCGTTCGTTGGGATTAGAAGATGAAGAAATCAAGAACTTCGCTGATGCGTCGCATTGGCTGGAATATTTCCCGCCGTTGGCCATTCAAGATTTAAAGCGGATGGGTGCTCATGTAAATTTTTATACCTATGATTTTTAGTCTGGATACGGGTGTTCAACATTGTTCTACGTTCCCAGATAGACTGGCGGCGAAGTTTCATCACGACAGATGTAAATCCGTTTTACGATTCCTTCGTGAGGTGGCAGTTCATAAGATTGAAGGCACGTGATAAAGTTCAGTATGGCAAAAGGTACACGATTTTTTCACCGAAAGATGGTCAACCGTGTCTTGATCATGACCGTTCGGTCGGCGAAGGCGTTGGTCCTCAGGAATACACATTGATCAAACTCAAAGTCGAGGAACCGTTTCCAAAAGCTTTGGCGGAACTTGCAAAAAAACGTGAGTCAACATACGGAAATAACGATCATTTATTGCGAGGTATGATAAGAAACGCGGCGTATTTTTCTGACGGAGCGACTTTTAATACGGAGATACAATTTCTGTTTAGTGACTGTGTGGCCCGTTTCAACTTGTTCATAGAAGTCCATTGTCTGTTTCTGGGTTAGTCGTGGATAGGTGGTTATGAAGAATGCTGCTTGAAATTTGAGCGCCGCAATTGTTGGGAGTTCGGAAAAAATTTTTAGATTTATTGTTGAAAATTAAGGATTTAGGAGCATTTGAAAATATACTTCCGTTCCACATGCTCGCTATGAGGTGAAAAGGTGAAACTCTTTAAAAACGCAGTGTTATCAAACCTGCTTTTATCTAGCTTTGAATTGAATTTTGCTGCGTTGGATCTATTTTGCGCTTGACAAACCGTATTTGTGATCACATCTTCTACAGACATGCGAACGAATTTAAAGCATACGTTGATTTATTTTCCTCGAAAGTCCATTTTTCGCTAAGGGTCGAGTGATGTCTTTTTGATTCAATTATGCAAATATTGATTTCTTTGATATTTTGCAGATGGACCGGCGAATTTCTTCTTGGTAGCGGCAACCTTGCGACCCGAAACTATGTATGGACAGACAAATTGCTGGCTTCATCCCGACGTTGAATACATTGCGTTTCTTCACAAAGAAGACGAAGTATTCGTGAGTGCCAGGCGAGCTGCGAGGAATATGTCGTACCAGGGTTTAACTGCCACTCAAGACTCTGTCGCGGTTAGTGGGTAGTCATTTTTATGACTCGATCACTTCTAATTTTTTAATTTTTCAATGCATTACAGTATAATTGGACCGAAAAAATAGACGGAAAAATTTTGGACGAAAGTGAATCTAGTTAACTCCGGTGCTCTGTCCAAGAACACCTGAAGTAGTGTAATGTTCTTTCGGATCAGCCGCATACTGTGTAACCCCGTGTGCAGTATTGCTTATCCGGTTGAGTTCATCTTGATGTATGATGCAAGCAGTTGATGCAAAATTAAAAGGATTTCGCTAGTTTTTGGGCAAATTTAGATTAGCTTAGATCAGTGGTGCCCAACTCAGAAGTGGCCAAGGGCCGCATTGAAGTAGAAGAGCATTATGCGGGCCACAATGGAAAAAAGGCACAAGAAATGTTGACCAGTACATTGTGTAATTCAAGAATTTCTGGGATGGTTGAAATGATTCTACAGTATAATCAATCAAGTTCTAGTCTATAATCAAGTTCAATAAGTATTTCAGGATTTTTGTTTTCTGGCAATTTGGCTTTTATCATCTACAAAC